AACTGTGCTTTTCTAGAAGGTCTTCACTGTGAGAAATATAGGTCTAGTATAAAATCTTCACTATCAGGGTAGTTTATCATAAAACCACAGTCTGAATGGCATTATTCTTGTCTATTTTATTTAGGTATAAATAGGTTAAATAATAACTAAGGCTTCACTCTCTGCCAAGCGCTGTTCAAGTACTATGTCAGTGAAGAATTACAATATGTGAGACAGATGTTCATGAACCTGTTGTCAGATGAGGAAGGAGAGACAGATTAAGAGATTTCCCTAAAAGTGAATGGTCCTAAGGGTAGAGCAGAACTTGACCCCAAAGAGTCTTAAATACAAGTTCATCTATGCTCTTACCCATTTTCATAACTTATAGAAGTAGAGTATAAGTCTTTAACTACATAACATCCAATAAGCAGGGTATAGTGTAAACATGTCCCTAAGTCTGTTCAGAGGAAATGATCCTCTGAACTGAACTGTATCTATGAATCTTTTGGGTTATCCTTTCAGGTCTTGTAAAAGTAGGCCATACACCTGTAAAAGGAAAATCCTTGACTATATAATGAAGCCTTTTTTTTTTTTTTTTTTTTTGGTCTTTTTGAGACGAGGTCTCTCTGTAGCCCCAGTTGACCTGGAACTCACTATATAGACCAGGCTGACCTTGAACTCACAGAGATATGCCTGCCTCTTCCTCCTGAGTGCTGGAATTAAAGGTGTGCACCACCATGCCCAGCTCCAGAGCCATTCCTATTTTTATTACTTTTATTTTATGTGTATGTGTGGAACTGGAGTTACAGACAGTTGTTATCTTCCATGTGGGTGGTGGGATTCAAACCTGGGTCTTCTGTAAGAACAGCTAGTGTTCTTAACCGCTGAGCCATGTCTCCAGAAGCCATTCTTTATATAAGGGTCTGTAGGCCTTCCAGGAAACTCAACTGTGAAGTGCTGAAATTCTTTGAGGACATTCTTAGGGTGGTGGCTGGGAGTACTTCCATTCCATATAAGCCAGGAAGGGAAAGCCCATCCAGGTTCATATCCTAGTATCCCACATGAATCAGACCTTGAGCCCCAGCATTGTAACCCTATCATTTTTAAAACCCTATCATTTTTTGTGTGTTTATTACCCTTTCAATATTCCCAGACTTTTAGCAGAATCTTGTTTCAACAGTCATTCTGCTTTAGCAATGGGAAACTGGGTTAGAATGTTCAAAGCTGGAATAATTTCCTTATAACATTAGCATGAGCTCGGCCATGTGATTGATTATTCAGGGGACAAAGGCAAAAATGAGACTTGAGAGTAGAGACAGTGTGATTGAGCTAACCCTCTGTGTTATGAATGTTTCGATTAAATGCAACCACAAAGGTCTCAGCTATTATTATTATTATTATTATTATTATTATTGGTCTTTTTGAGACAGGGTCTCCCTGTAGCCCCAGCTGTCCTAGAACTCACTATGTAGACCAGGCTGGCCTTAAACTCACAGAGATCCACCTGCCTCTGCCTCCCAAGTGCTGGGATTAAAAGCGTGCGCCACCATGCCCGGCTTTTATTATTTTTAAGAAGACAATAGGTCTTTATTGGGCATAATGGCCCACAACTATAATCCCAGCACTGTGAGACTGAGGTAGGAGGATTGCCATGAGTTCTAGGCCAGCCTGGACTACAAAGTAAGACCTTGTCTTAAAAAAATAATAATAATAGATCTTCATATCAATAAGATTGGGTCACAACTCTTTATACCTTCCACTAGTTACTAGTAACTATGTAAGACGTCCAAAACAAATTGAGACTACATTTACCTCATTAGATCCTAACCTGTTAAACAATATTTATTTTAGTCCAGAATAATTCTAAAATTGGTTTGAATTTCCTCTTCATTTTTGCTGTGGTCGTTTTCCCTTGGGTCTTCTTCCAGAGCTCTGCCTGCTTATTTGGGGGCAGGGGATTGTTTTTGTTTTTGTCATTCTGATATCTGTTTAAATAGTAACTTGTCTTCACCCATTCATCCTGCTACAAAAAAAAAAAAAAAAAAAAAGCATCAGAGAATTAATGACTTCAACCACAAGCATTTATTTCTCACAGTTTTGAAGACTAGGGAGTCCAAGGTCAAGGTGTTTGTCAATAGATCAGGTGTCTGGTGAGGGCTCATTTCATTTCATAAATGGCCATCTTCCTTTTCTGTCTTCATATGGCAGAAAGAGGACGAGAGAGCTCTCTAGAGTTGTGTTTGTAAGGTCACTCATTCCATTCAGAACTGTTCCTTCCTTGTAACCTAATCACCTCCCAAAGGCTCTCTTTAATACCAACTCCTTGAGAGCCAGGATTTCAACATCTGAACATAGGAGGACACACACATTCAATCCATTGCATAGCTATGCAATAAGGCCTTCCCTTTCATCAAACATAATATCACCACAATCCTTCTGGAACTGTGCAATACAACCCTGTAAGATTTCCTTCAGGATAATTACTATTATATGGATTATTGTGCGTATTTATTTGTGCTTTTTCGTTGGCTGTCTTTCTGCACTGGAATCAAGTTCCATGAGACCAGAGACTTTGCTTATCTTAGAGAAGCAGTAGTCTCCATAACTGTATCTAGAACTGTTCCTAGAAGACACATAAAAAGTGATTTTTGATAAATACATATTGAATTAATAAATACTAGCTTAAGGCAGTGTATTAGTCACTTTTCTGTTGCTGTGATAGAAACACTGACCAAAGTACGTTATAGAAGGAAGAGTTTATTTGAGCTTACGGTTCCAGGGGAATTACAGTCTGTCATGGCAGGGAGGCATGGTGGCTGGAGGTGGTTGGAGCAGGAGCAGCAGAAGCTAAGCTCTCACATCATCACACAGGCACAGGAAGCAAGAGGGTGACTGGAGATCTGGCAAGGCTTAAGAACTCTCTAAGCCCACCCCCAGTGATGTGCTTCCTCCAGGATAGCCACACCTTCTAAAACTTCCCAAAACAGCACCATCATCTGGGGACAAAATGTCCAAACACTTGGAGCCTATGGGGGACATTTTCATTCATACCATCACAGGCAGATAAAAGGAAGCCAGAATCAAGTTGCATGAGAGGTACAGTGCACCTGGGCTATGACCCCACAGCCCAATAATGGGTGGGAATGGAGGAGAGGGAAAGAACTGACACTGTGCTAGAAAAAGCAGTCTACTGAGCGGAGAGGAAAAAGAAAAGGCCAGGTAGTGCTACCAAATCTATGTATATCCCACAACTTATACCTAACAGAGAACTCATCTCTCACCACATATAAATCCCACAAATTTCCACACTTGGTGTGGAACCTTCTGGCTTAGTTCTTTAAAAAAAAAATGTTTACTTTTATTTATATGTATGTGTGATTGTATGTCACATGTGTGAGGATGCTCTCAGGGACCAAAGGAGGACATTAAATACCCTGGAGCTGGAGTTACAGGCAGTCGTGAGCCATCTGATGTGGGCACTGGGAACTGAACTCCAGTCCCCTGGAAGAGTAGCCAGCATTCTTAACCACTGAGCCATCTCTCCAACCATCTCTGTTCTTGTGAATGGGCACATTCATCAGATGCAGATGCTGAGGGTAGAGGCGCACATAGCCTCCTCAGGAACAGATCCTATATTAGTTCCCTTGGACTGACCAAGAGGAGGAAAAGCCCCCAGGACAAGTTGCTAGGCAGCCCGTAGCCCAGATCCAGCTACACTTCTGTTTTATTTAGCCCACCCTATGCTTAAAGACATTGTGCCAGCATTCAAGAAGTTTTATATGAACTTCTGGTTTTCTAGGTCATTTTGACAAATAGGAAGGTCTGGCATGCGAGAGCTGTATTCTCACACAGCCCAACTAGCTAGTACAGAATAGCAAGCACAGCCTTGTTTCATAGTCCTCTTCAGCTCCCCATGGGCCCTGTGACTGCAGTGTATTTACCAGCATTTGCCCTCCAGTTTCCTGCATGGACTTCATAGCTGCTTGAATTTGTAATGTCCATCATAATGGTTAATCACAGTGTAAATAATTAATCATCAGTAATTGGTTTCGTGTTGGTAGACCTTGTGCATAGATCATTCACTGCACAAAAGCCTTCTAGGACTCCCCATTGCTTGACAAATGGAGTGTGTATGTGCCTGAATGGGCAACAGTTTGACCTGTACCTTATATCCAGGCATTCCCTTATAGAGGAATTAGACTTACACCCTGTGGGATTTTAGGTTCTAGAAACAACCCTATATGTTCGGAAAAGACAGAACAAGAAGAGGTTGTGGGGGAGTTAGAACAACTTAAATAATGCAGGCAGGCCATTCTCCCACTCACACTCTGTTCTACTCATAGAACATGTGACGTTGATATTGGAAGAACATGACATGCTGAAATAATTAGCATGTTGACCAAATTTAGGTTCAAATATGCAAATGACTTGGTTACTTGACCACTGGCAAAGAGGTAAGTGAAATACATTGTCCTGATCATCAAGCTACTTTTCTTCCTATATATACCGAAGAAAAAATATGAAATAATTATGGGCCAAAGAGGAACACTGGCCAACAGAGACAGAACTAATGAAATTTATCTATAGTTTGTACTGTGTAAAAAGTGCATGCACTCCACTGTACTTGACAGTGTATCCATGAATAGCTCACCAGCCTCTTAATATTTGAATTATAAATTGTATTTCAAAATAGAAAATCAACCTGTGACTTGGAATGTCAGATTGGCCTTCATTTTTTTTAAAAAAAAAAAGCAGGGCCAACGAGATGGCTCAGTGGGTAGAGGTACCAAGCCTCGTGACATGAGTTCAATCCCCAGAAACCATGTGAGGGGAGGGAGTAAACTGACTCCTGTAAGCTGTCCTCTGATCTCCATAGGTGTGCCATGGTGTGCATATGTGTGTGCACACATATAAATACACATAAATAAATAAATACATGAAATTTTTAGATAATTAAAAAAAGAGTAAACCAAATTATTTAACTTTTGCAAAGTAATTCACAACAGTTCTGATTCTTACAGGAACACCCCATACTTGGGCAACCCTTTTTTGTTCTACATCCTTGCAAGACAAATGAATTCATGGCTGCTGTGCTAAAGGATTCGCAGAAAATCAATAGGTGAGAAACACCTTCAAGACACATTGGACTCTACTCTGCTTTTAAAAGTGTAAATCTTTTCATGTGACTCTAAAAGCCAGGATAAAAAAAGAAATATTCTTTGTAATAATAATGGCTAACACATTGATTTTCGTTACATAGGTACTGTTCAGTTTTAGATATATGAACACATTGGAGTTTTATAATATCGCAATAAGCTAACTACTATTATTTAATTTCAGAGAAGGAGCTAAAGCACAAGGAACTAAGTGACTATCAGGCACATGCAGCTAGTTAGTGGTGGACCTGGGGTTTGAAGCCAGCCCTTCTTACTGCAGCAGCACATTTTTAACTATTGTACTCAGCTACCTCAACAAATACTGTAAATTTCAAACATAAGATCTGAGCCCTCAGAGGGCTCCTGGGAGTCAGAAACCCTATCCCAGGAGCCCCAATGTTATCTTGCCCTTCAACTACCTTTGTAAAAGAGTCTCATGATCTCTGGGACCACAAGTCCAAGTCACACTGTAGGGTGGCATCAAGGATGCTGGGATTCCAGGCAAGCCCACATCTTTGAAGAAGGCCTCATTTCTTGTTGTCCACTGTATTAGTTACTTTTCTGTTGCTGTGATAGAAATACCATGACAAGGGAGCTTATAAAAGGAAGAGTTTATTTAGCATACGATTCCAAAGGGACAAGAGTCCATCATGGTGGGGAGGCATGGCGGCAGAGGTGTCTGGAGTAGAAGCAGAAGCTAAAGTCTTACATCTGCAAGCAGGCACAGGAAACAGAGTGTAACTAGAGATCCAGCAAGGCTTAAGAACTCTCTAAGCCCACCCCCAGTGTCGTGCTTCCTCCAGTATGGCCACACCTTCTAAAACTTCCCAAAACAGCACCACCAACTGGGGACAAAATGTTCAAATACTTGGAGTCTATGGGGGATCTTCTCATTCAAAGCACCACATCCACTGACTGAATTTCCACCATTCATCCAAAAAACTATGATGGGGACATTTGTGTGATGTGCACCTCACTTGTTTCCTAGAAATGTCAACTATGTCACATCCTGGCTCAGCATTGTGGGGCCAGTTGTTGGGCTGAATCTACCTCTGAGCTATGCAAAAGCAGCCATGCAGGATGAGCAGCTTGTTGACTGATGAGGTAAAGAGCCTGGGTTTCATGCTTTGCTGTTAGAAGATGGCAGGGTCTCTTATTACTCAGGTCTGGGGATCGTTTGCCTCCATCTTTAATGTGCCGAGCTCTAGCTTGTTCAGTTTCCAACAGTGCCCTACTCAGTAACCTGAGAAGCACTTTACTTTGCTGTACAAGGCATTCACCCAACTACAGGAGCTGGTGGTTTTATGGCTAATAATCTTGAAATAAATCTTTATTGCTTTATTGCTTTTATTCTCTTAACTTTTGTTCTTGTTCTTAGATCTTCTGTTGATCTGAGAAACTACATCATGAAGAACACAAGGAGTTTACCCAGGAAGCGCAGGCTTAATGAAAATAAGACTGCAATGTGAGATCACCAAGATTTAACATGGGGGGCTGTAGAGACGGCTTAGTGGTTAAGATCACTGACTGCTCTTGCATAGGACCCAGGTTCGATTCCCAGCACCCATATGGTAGCTAACAGCTATGCTCCAGGAGATCCAATGCCCTCTTCTGACCTCTGAGGGCATTGCACAACATGGATACATTTACATACTTGCAGACAATACACTCATACACATAAAAAATAAAAATAATAAAATGTTTTTTAAAAATATTTAGCATGGGTGTTTTTTTCCTTAGGAATAAAGTGTCTACAGTATCTTATCTGGAACAGTGACTGTTTAGAAGAAACATGTCAAAGATTTGGATCACTATAAATAGCAAAATTTGATTCTAATTCAGTAGTATGACTGCTGGCATCATTAGGGCCTTCATAGGTCATTTTTTTCAAGGCTAGGAACATTTCTTTTTCTGATATGGAGATTGATGGAGAATGTATTTATGTGCTCATTTTGATATAAGATATATGAGAATTAAAATGCAGAGCTTACCTGTTTCTAAAGTTAATGTTATAAACATGGCCTATCTTAACTTATTCTCCCACAGTCCAACTCAGGAGCAATAGATTATTTCTCTTTTACTCTCCAAAGATAGATACAAAATAAAGAAAAATTAAACATTTTATTATAAGTTAATAATGTATTTTACAAGCAAAATATGGCATAGTTATGAGAAAATTTTTAAATGGCTATAGCAAATATTTACACATCAAAAAATGCTTTTGCCTATAATAATAAAATTGATAATTTTGTTGTTCCACCTGCCACACCCATGGCTGTGCTGCTGCCTCTTATCCTGTGGCTTCCTTCCTTTAAATAGGAAAAAAAAACAAGCTACCTTGTAGTGTTGCTGTGAGAGCCACAAGAGATCATGAATGCACGAGAAACGCTCATTAAATGCTCACCTTTCTCGGGCTGGAGAGATGGCTAGGTGGGTAAGAGCACTACCTGCTCTTGCAGAGGACCTGAGCTTGGTTCCCAGCACCCACAAGACAGCTAACAACAGTTCCTAACTCAAGTTCCAGGGGCTCTGACTCCCTCTTCTGACCTCTGTGGGTACTGCACGACATGGGTGCACCTACCTACATTCATACACATAAAATAAAAATAATAAAATATTTTTTAAATGCTTACCTTTCTCATAATTGTCTGTTCACTCAGCCTGTGAATATGTTTGACAGCCAGCAAGATACTAAAATGAGCCTCACCTGGAAGAATTGCAGGTTGCTTTATTTTTTGTTTCAGTTTCCTAGAAGCTGAAACTGAAAGAAAAACAAAATTGGTACAGTTTCTTCCAGTGAGGCATGTACCTTAGAGTCACCTGAAGGTGCTTTACAACCACAAATGCTGGGCCACCTTCCGAAACAGCTGCTTGGGGTGACTCTGGTGGACAAAACTCCCTGAAAAACCTCTTCTTTGGATGAGCTTGTATCATGGAATTGATGTGTGTTCTTCTGGCCTACCAACAAGCCCTTTCCCGTTCTATCCAAAGTAGACTTGCTTCCTAGTGTTGTCTAGGCAAGCACCTCAAGTTAACACAAGATTACATCATTACCTGATAAACCTGTTTTCGGGTATGAAAATACCATAAGTTGAAGATGCATTTAATAACCTACTGAACATCACAGTTCAGCTTGGCCTACTTTTTCATTTATTTTTATTACATTTTTATTTATTTTGTGTGCATAGGTATGTGTGGTGTGGGAGGCAGGTATGTGCCACAGTGCACATGTGGAAGTCAGAGACAACATGTGGGAGTTCTCTCTTTCCATTCTGTGGATCAAACTCAGATCATCTGACTTGGCAACAGGTGCCTTTACACACTGAGCCATCTTGCTGGCCCATTGAACTCACTTTATATATGCTCAGAACACTTACATTAGCCTGCAGTTGGACAGAATTACCTTACACAAAGCCTGTTTTATAATAAAAGTGTCAAGGGGCCAGAGAGATGGCTCAGCAGTTAAGAGCACTGGCTGCTCTTACAGAAGATCAGTGTTCAATTCCCAGTACCCACATGGCAGCTAGTAACTCCAGTGCTATGGAATCCGAAGCCCTCTTCTGACCTCCTCTGGCATTGCAAGGCATAGGTACACTTATATACATGCAGACAATACACTCATACACATAAAATAAAAAATAAAATATTTTAAAATGTATTGAATATCTCAGCTCTACAGCCATCTACACATTTTGTAGAGGTTATGGAGTCTCAGAACAAAAACAATATCAAAAAAAATCCTGGCAACCCTATACTGTAGAACATTGGCTTTTTATCCTCATTATCTCAAGGCTGTCTGGGAGTGGCTGCTTGCTGCTGCTGCCTAATGTCACAAGAGAGTATTAGACTGTGTTACACTAGCCAAGGGAAGGTTCAAAATTCAAGTATGGTTTCTTCAGTGTGTATCTCTTTTACAACATACTAAGTAAAAAAATGTAAGCTATACTGCTGTAAGTTGGGCTGGCTGTACAAGAACAGTAAGAAAACTTAGGAGACTTGTTTTCCCAGCAAGAGGGCTGCTATGGTTTGAATAAAGTTCATCCTCTTTAAAACCTCTGTTGAAATGTAATTCTCAATGGTTCTGAGAAGTGGTGGGACCTTTAGGAAGTGAACAGGTTGTCAAGAAGGACTGATTCAGTTCTCCCAGTACTGGATCCATTCTTGTGGGAGTTGGTTGTTACCAAAAAGGTCAGCACCTCTGTCCCCTCTGCAATTCCACACCAGCCCACCAAACCTCCTGCTTTCTGCCATGAGTTGCAGCAGCATGCAGGCCTGGCCAGATGCGACTGACCAACCTTGAACTTGTCAGCCTCCAGAGTCATGAGGCTGGCAAAAATAACTCCTTTCTTTAAAAATTAATCTCAGAAGTTTTGTTACAGCAGCAGAAAATAGCACTACTGTGGTCAGAGATAGCTTTGTGAAGGAGGGACTCTGTAGCCAGGTGAGGCGATGTACCACTGGAGAATCATGGAAGACTGCAAGATCGTCCCCAGTCTGTATCTGCAGGATAAGGGCTGAACTCAGAGTGGAAGTGGAGAAGGGTTAATTTAAACTGCTAGAAAAGCTAAAAGTAAATAAAATGCTGAGCCGCACATATTCATGCTAGAATGAGAGCTTGCTTATATGCTTGCTGGGCATTTTGGTATTTACCACTTAACATCTTTTCAACTTCTGCAAGGGATTTTTCCCTTCACTTTCCCCAATATAAACACAGATTTCTCAGCAAGTCATTTCTCAAGCCCTGTCATTTCTGGTGTGTGTGTGTGTGTGTGTGTGTGTGTGTGTGTGTGTGTGTGATCTGAATGACGTTACTTCTCTGGAACTATTATCTTTAACAAGTCTGAGATGATAGCCTTCCAGCTTAGGCCTAGTTTATGAGTTTTTTTGTTGTTGTTTTGTTTTTCCTTTTGTAGTACTGGGGATTGTGCCTAGGGTCTTACATGTGCTAGGCACTATAATACTGAATATACTCTCAGCCCTCTTTTTTTCTCTGTATTCTGAAACAGTTTCACTGAGTTGCCCAGGTGGAGCTTGAATTCACTCTGTAGCCCAGGCAGGTTTTAAACTTGTGATTCACCTCTGTCTCATAGTATCTGAGATTACAGGCCTCTGCCACAAGGCCTGACTCATTAGGAGCTCTGAATGTTCTCTACTTTGACCTGCCCCTTCTGTGGTAGATAGTAAGTCATTTAAGGTAATGACCACTGTTTTGGTATGCTCTATGGCAGTATGAACCTTCACAGAAGAGTTGCTGCTTGCCTCTCCTGAGTGGATAGGGAAAGGCTCTTGGTCTGCAGTGCTGATGGGGTTTTCAGACCAGGATGAAGAGCAGAGGCTGTGCTGGGAAGTAGACAACAAGCAGGAGGTTAAAAAAAAGAAAAGAAAAGAAAAGAAAAGAAAAGAAAAGAAAAGAAGGGGCTAGAGAGCTGGTTCAGTGGTTAAGAGCACTGGCTGCTCTTACAGCTCTTACAGAGCATCTGGCTTCAGTTCCCAGAACCCACATGGCGGCTAACAACAGTCTCTAACTCTAGTTCCAGGGGATCCAACATCCTCTTCTGGCCTCTGGAGGCATTGCATGACACAGGTGCACTTAAATACATGGCAGGCAAAACACTCATACACATAAAATAAAAATAAATTTAAGGAGCTGAAGAAATGGCTCAGCAGTTAAGAGCATTGACTGCTTTTGCAGAAGACCCAGGTTCGATTCCCAGCACCCACATGGCAGCTAACAACCAGTTGGTAACTCCAGTTCCAGGAGATCCAACGCCACCTTCTGACCTCCATGGGTATTGCTTGACACAGGTACACATACACGTGCAGGGAATACACATACACATAAATAAAATAAATTTAAAAAGAAAATAACTCTTCCCTCAACAAAAATTAAAATCAAGAAAAAAAAAAGTCAAAACTGGGTTTTCCTATCCATTTCTCCCATTGATGGGTCAACTGTTTTGATTCATGCTTCCAAACAGCAGGACAGGGAACCTTGCATTGTCAAAAGAGTCCTTACTTAGTTCACAGCAGATACTCCAATGAGAGGAGGTGGTGAAGACTGAACCTGGCTAGCAGGACTGGGCCAGTCTAGAAAGGCCTTTATTGCCACATTTAAATTTGTACTTGGCCTAAAAACCACAAAGAGCCACTGAGGGGACTGGAAAAGTTGCAGTGTTCCATTGTAGTTTAGGAAGAATGTATTTTAACAGTATGACTTCATGTAACTAGTCACACATTCATTGTTCAGGTTTTTCTATCATGATGTTTGGTCATTCAGTTTAGAAAGCCAAGGAAGATTAGTGCTTCTGGTAACGTGCCAGGGACAGATTTCATTTTTACCCAGGGTCTTCCTAAACAAGACCTGCTGGTGCCCTGAAAAGCTTGAATCCTGGGTCACTGTGTTACCTGGGGTGTCCCACCAAGCCTCTCTAAACCTCTGTTTCTTGATGAATCAAATGTATAAACATGTATTAGATCAAGCAAAATAATTTTCTGGTTTGTTATCAATATTTTTAACAGTAAAAATATCAAAATATTTTGAAATGTCAAAATCTAAATATCAAAAATAAAAATTTTAACATAAAGAACACATTAAAAATATCAAATAAAAAATATCAA